CCTGAAAAGGTGACAGCAGGTTCTTGATCTGATGTCACTGCTCAAGAAGAGAGTGGGGCAGCTACTCTGCCTGAGTTTCTCTTTTCTCTCTGAACTTCTGAATCAAAGGAAGATTTGCTTCAGTTCAGGAGAGAAAAGACCTGTGAGTTGATAGCCTCCTCTGGCAGACAACTGTTACAGCTAGGCCAGTCCAAGGTGCTCTGGGTTAAAGACACTTAATTGACTCTACATGAGGGGATACAAGGCAGAGCATGGAGATGCACACAGAGCGGATGTGTACAGAGACCTGAATGGAAAACCAGGAAATCTTAGTTTTCCCTTAGATTACTGGGTCTGCCACGTCACTTGAGTTCCAACTGTCTCACTCTCTTCTACTTGAGCTTAAGATGTCCGACATGATCTAGCCAAACAACACTGATCCCCATATAGTATCTCACTCAAATTCCAACTGTTTTGCTTGTTCCTGGCTCATTGCTCCCCATCAGCTCAGACCCACTATCAGCTCCTGGCTCAGCCCATAGGTATAAAATTTTGAAGTCAAGGTCTGGATGAGATTTATAGTGAGTAATAGGTAAAGATGAGAATGGAACTTTCAGGGAAAATACATTTTAGTATTTAAGTGTTTTTAATCTGAGATACCTCAGCAATAAGAGCTAAAATGGATCTTTAAGGAAGATAAGAGGCAAGTGCAATGATATGATGCAATATTATCCAGGAAAATGACAAATAAGACCTGTTTTTGGCTGCCTGAGTGTTTCTAGAGCTGTGATCTACAAAATGTGATCTCTTGCACAGGTCCATAATCTTTGCATTAGAAATACAAATTGTCAAGCCTCACCAAAAACATTGAGTCAAAGACACTGTGCTATGGCTAACAAACTTGTATTTTAACCATTCTTCTAGGTGTCCTCAAGTTTTAGAATCACTTTCCTAGAGCATTGAGTGCTAGGGGAGAAACAAAGAAGAATGAGACTGAAGAAGTAGAAATGGAGCAGATCTTGGAGTTATTTTTCCCATGTGTACAATGTTGAAATTTTCTTTATACCCAAGTCAGTCATTACCGTTGACCTGGAACTGACTCATAACTGAACCTCCAGTGAGTTTTCAGAGTCTATAAATTGCATAGGGAGAGATTACCCATCTTTTTCTCATTGAACTGCTGGTGGATTTGAACTGCTTGCCTTTGGGTTGGCAGTGCAACTGAAGAGTTCCCTTTATAAGTGACGATAATGGTTGAAGAATTTTAAGTAAGGAAGTCATATTTAAGTAGGCCATATGGAGGATAGATTTAGGCAGGGAGGGCCTAAGGTCAGGGAAGCTGTGGAGGAGTCCAGGAAAGAATTCCCATAAACCAGATGTCTCCCACTGAATAGATTCCTAATATGTAAGACTGCAGATGTTTAAGTTACTATCCTCTGTTTCCTTTTTCCATGACTATTTCATGGGCTAAAAAGTATACGATTCCCTTACAAGACTCAGAAAAGAGAGTTTCCCTATCCGATTGAATAGTAAAGTAATAGGAACAAGTACAATTATCTGGTGCTTATATCAGAGGGCTACTGCTGAAGTAGATTTGGTATTTTAATTTCACAGAAAAATAATGTTGGTTTCCCAATAATTTTCATTTTTAAAAGAAAATCTAAGCTAGTAATTGAAAACTTCTTCAAATGCAGTTGCATAGAGAATATCCGTCTATATATGATATAAGTACTGGGAAACATTAACTATACTGTACTTCTGTAATAAAAAACTAATGTAATTTTGTCTTCTTTCCTCTTATTTTTAAACATTTAAACAATATATTATCAGTTATCTGAAAATTGTCATGTTCTAATAAACCCTAATGCACATTTTAAGCATATGTAAAGATGTATCATAATTTAGTATGTAAATAAATACTCTCTTTTTTGTTCTATAAGGTAAAATAATTAAAAACACATATTCTTTAAATATAACAGTATTAAGAAATTTGATAATGCTTTCATTATTAATCATCTATTAGTAAAGAAGTTTATTGGTAGAAATGAGATCAACAACTTCAGTATCAATATTTTGGAAATTTATGTAATGTATCTCAATTCTAAGATGCCCTTTAACGTATAATGGCTAAATTTAATTTTTCCTAGTAAAGCATGTTATATTTTATGACATTTTACAATTGACAAAATTGAGGACTTGAATATTATACTATAGTAATTCCTTCTTTTAGACCTACACCCTATCCAATGTTTTCTAATGAGAATGGTTTCTTCACAGCATTGCTTTTGACCTTCACATCTATTTCTGAAATAAATGTCAATTTACCTTTAAAACTCTTTTTGAGGGGAAGAGTGACCCTTTTCCCCCTTCTTATTTACATGAATTTTTATGATATATTTAAGTTACCTTTTGATTATATTTTGCATGATAGAAAATTCACAATGTTTCTATGGCTCCAAAGAGCCTACCTGTAATAAATGGCTTTCCCCTTCAAAACCACAAAACAGGTCTGAATTGCTTGAGCATTAGAGCTAATTGCATACCTACTTCAAAGAAAGAACTAGAAAAGAAAGAAGGGGGGAAAAGTCACAGAGGCCAAGCGTTGCAGGCAAATCCACCTCTAAAGGTTATGAGCTGTGGCTTGTAGGAACTGGGCAAAGTTATGGCCTCAGACCTGCTGTTTGCGATTAAGTTGATGGGGAGAGTCTATCCCACAATCTTCCCCTGCTGCTGACACAGAGTCTTTGTTCACATCCAGATTTTTCAAACAGTTGCCAGGGTCAGGTGGAGGTCAGACACCACAGTGATGTATAGAAGAATATGTCTGGGAATTTCTCTCACACTTAAAACACATACCAGAAATGAAGAAGAGAACCCTGCAAAAACTGGCTGATGAGACCCAGATTATACTGCAGCTTTTCTTTTAGGACCTTCATAATTTTCTGTTTCTTCTCTTGACAGACCATGTTTTATTAATGTGAGTTGCGATACCCTTTACGATTTTATGTCCCCTCAAGATAAGGACAGTCAGTAGCACTCCAACACTTCATTTTCCAGCCCTGGGGAAAAGGTCCAGTAAATCTAGTACACAAAGTCTTGAAGCTCTTCCCAGGAGGAGTTGAAAAGTAATGGCTAAAGGCTGTTTTAGGCTACAGGCCTGACACTAGATATGGTGTCGTGTGTGTGTGTGTACTTGGCAAGGACACAGCCCAGCCAGCCATGAGTCTAACCCAGCACTCTAGCCTCCCAAATTGAGCTCAGTCACTTTTCGCTAGCTGAGAGAGAAGAGGTTGCTCTGCTTGATTAGAAATTATGACTAAGCAGGAGTTAGAAAGAGATTGGAAATGTAATAAATATTGTCTCTTCTCTTTGCAAAGTGAAATTTCCATATGTATTTGTCAAAAATGATGCTCCCCTTTTCCCATCATGACAAACCAGCTAGATACCTTTGCTTTTGTGCAGAGGCCAAATGTGCATATGGAATGAATGAATTTGCGTGGTGTGCCTTGTGGAGGACATGTGGTTAAACTAACTCTTATTTTGAGTATGTTTAAATCCTCATCTTCTTCTTAGCTCCTTCGAGTGTTCTGTGGAGCCCATAACTGTCCCCCCTCTGTTCTTGCTCACAGTCACAGAGCATGCATGCCTGGCACTAGGAACCTTTTTCTTTCTTTCTTTTCTTTCTTTTTTTTTTGTGCTCAGCTGCTACATATGACAGTGGATATTTCATTCTGCTGTCAGAACGTTATTAATAAAACATGGGGTGTGGAGAGGGCCACGATTTCCCCTTTCAATCACTATAGCATTTGCAATGAAAATTTTATGCAGTGTGTAATTTTCAGTTAATGCCCGACACTTAAAATGTCCGTAGCAGCGTTTTGTATGGTTATTGAAGGGTTAATTGTATCATGTTCTCTGCATAAAAGCTCTGCTTATCAAAAGCAAATAGAAGAGTGTATGCAAATGGGTAGCGATGACCTTTTGCCTTTGCAGGGTTAATTTATATGGTCATTAAAGATTTTATGAAATTGAGCAGCCTGGTGCTCCAAATCCCCTTTTACCTTCTTCCTCTAATTTATGTAATTCCTACCTGAACAGGGGAATATTATTTTTTTTTATTTTTTTTATTTTTTTGTGCAGCAATGAAAACAGCATGCCATGCTGTGGGGAGTTGGAAGCCTGGTTATCTGGCATTACTCAGATTGCTAAAAATTCATTAAAATGTGACATCAGCACAGTGAGAGACAAATGATCGCAGGATGAAAGAGAACAGTGGGCCTTTCACGGATTAGTGCTACACAGCCCAGCGCAGAGGCTAACTGCATAAACAGATTAATCCACCAGCAGCGACATAGCTAAGATTTACAGAATAATTAAATAGGGTTGAGTTACTATAAGGATTTCCATGTAATCTAGCTGGTGTGAACCCGTGAATAAGGTGTGGGCTGATGCTGTTGTCACAGAAGAAGTCTACCTTGTTATACCCTCTGCCTTGTAGAGCTCCCCCTATAGAGAAAAAGAATTCCCAATGTAATTCACGTTTAGCGATCTTACTCTAACAAAATTCAAAAGAATTCTTCTGGAGGCTAGAGTCTGAAGGCAGGACTAAAACCTGTCACATTGCTAAGAATTTTCCCCCAAGAATCAGTTTGTTCTCTTACCTACAAGTCTACACAGAAGTGGGCAATGTTGTTACAAGGTCCTACTGTTGAATTCCAGAAATCACCTGACACCCAATTTTTAAACCTTCTGCAGTTTAAAAAAACTGGGCTGAAACACATTTATTTTATATTCATTTAGTATACATCACATATTATATATGGACATAAAAAAATTTTCCATCAGGATAGCCAGCATGTTCTAAAAGAGACTTTGAATGTTTACATGGGGATTTTTTTTTTGTATGAGTATCTTCAGATGTTTCATAAATAACTAAGTCATTAAATGGTCACCTAGTTTATTTTATTTTGCGTTTTCCCGGGGTTTTCAATGCTCCTGAAGGGGTCTGTCTTTCTTAACAGAAGAACAAAGTGAAGAGACAGAAGGCACTATTAAGGCTGCAACAGCTGCTGAAGATGATGAGAAAGACACGAATGAGAGAGACAATAGCGAAAACAAAAACTCTAATAAAGACTCTGGTAAGATGCTAGACTTGTTCACCTTTTCTTCCCCTATCCTGCTTCCCAATACGTCCTTCCTTCACTAACCCTTCCACCTCAAAAGCTTATTAAAAGCTTTTATTAATTTTAAACTGTCTGAGCATTCTCACTACTATTCATTGCGTTTGCATTTTGCATGTGATTTTTATCAGTAGCCTCCCATTGACCTATTTTTAATCATAACCATCTGACAGAATAGATGTGGATAAGTTGAAGAATATTACAGGACGACCAGCAAGATTATTTTTTAATCAAATCAGTTTGTGTGCTTGTAATTTTTTAAGCGCCTTTCATTAATCTTAGTTATACTTGTGATTCCTCTGATGGCATATTAATTTTTCATAAGCACAGGATTAGATATGACTTGAATTTTGTCATTCAATCACATGCACACCCCCTCAAATCAGGTTGCCCTAAAAATAAATATTATTTTTTCCTTGCTTTTTTACAACTTGCACTCAGGAATTTGCCCTTTTTAAGGGCATCTATTTGAGGCATTTCAAACGAAATCCAGTGAAAAAGTTTACAGATGATTCAGCCTAAGAAAGAGGAAATATCATTGAAAAGGGATTAGGTGCTGGGTAATTTTGATCTTCTAGAACAGACAAATCCCAGTAATGAAAGCTACTGTCTTTGAAAACAAACCTTCGTGTCATGACATTTACTTGTGCACAAACAAACCCTAGGCCAGCATCTGGTATGGATACCTAAGGCTTTTTCTGTGTTTGATTTGGCAAATATATGACTTCATCCATGCTTTGTATGTATGAGATGGAAATCTATGGTCGCAATGAATATTACATTGGCTACTTTTGCTGCACGCTATACCTAGTTATATTATGTTGAACTCATTGAAGCAGAAGAAGTGCTGAAACAGGTTCAAGCCTATTAGTTTCAGGTAGTCATCTATCTTTTCCATGAGTCCCAGTGACAGCCGCATATAAAGAGGCTTGTATTCACTACAGAAACATTTGGTAGTGCAAAATATGTAATTTTTACATGCAAGCCTATTTAAACCTGAATTATGTTGTATTTGTAATCCAGTCTTTGAAATATCTGTGTTTTGCATGTCCTTCAGAAGTTATTTGAAGAGCTTTCCTGTCCCTCACTCAACATTGGGCCACACTCAATTCCTTTCAGGTGCCCAGTAGAAAAAGTTCTATTTAAATTTACTTCTAGGATGTGCTAGCTAACATATAATTCAAATTAGATTTCCTAAAGAGGACCTAAGGTTGGTATGAAGTCTAAACTATGTAAATGGATGTCATAGTTGTGTATTAGGAAGCTTGCTTCTGGGAATATGGGCAGAAATTTGAAGTACATAATGATAAGTATATTGTTGTTGGTAGTGCTATCCAAACTTCATTTGAAAAAGACTGAAAATGACAAAGTAGTCTGTTCACTGTTTAGGATGTACTTCATTAAGGTGACCTGATTGGCTAGTTTGAGGAGGGAAGGATTATGCATGCATTCATAGGTATGTTCCACATATTAGTTTTGTTGCTCATTCTTCAAAAGAATTGGTGAAACATACCAAAACCACTGTAATGTTGAATGCCCATTATCACATAAGTGTACAGCATTAATTTAGCTTTTAAGTATCTCATGCATAGTATGTTGTGTAGGATGGAATCTGGGAGGGAAGTCCTTGAAAAGGAATCTAATTTTGCCACTGAAAAAAAAGATTCTTTCTTGAAATAGACCACAGAATTCTATCCCTTTTCTCCACAAAAGGAAAACGCTCAATCATTCCTTTCTAGTCTAATGAATTATTCTCCTTTCTCAATACCTAACTCTGTTATCCAGAAAAGACTCATAGTGGTAATGAGTTAAAATAAATGTTCATCCCGATAGAAATATCTTTCTAAATACATACTCATTGCCATCAAATCAGAATGAATTCACAGCTGACCCATCATTGGCTTTCAGAGGCTATAAATTGATCAGGAGAAGATAGCCCGTCAGAGCCACTAATAAACTGACACTGCCGGAGAGATGTGGTCTTTAGATTTGCAAGGCAAGTCCCTACAGACTGTGCTGGTGGGAATAAAAATGGACTTAAAAAAATACCATCTAAAAGCCATTACAGATTGGCAAATACTTGCCCTTGACACCTCCCAGCCCTCAAGAAGACATTTTATAAACAATAGCAAACTTTTAAAAAAGTTTCGCCTCTAAATTGAATTTCATTAGTAAAAAGTTTTATTACATGGCTTTCTTTTCTTTTCCTAGGAAATATTTCAAATTATTGAATAACCACTTAAAATATTTTCTTCTTATATCTGCTTTTGTCATGTACCATCAAATCAAAACTGATCCATAGCTTACCCGCCAGCAGGTTTTCAAAGAGTTAATCACATGAAAAGAAGTCACTCATCCTTTTGAGATATATACACACATATATATACATGTTGCTGCTGATTGCCTTTAGGTCGAGCACACCTCATAGCAACCCTATGAACAAAAGGCCTGAAGCCCCTCTACAACTATCGACATTTATCAAAGTTCATACAGTTTCCGGAGGCATGTTGTTTAGGAAATATTATATATATATATATATATATATATATATATATATACTTCCTAAACAACGTGTGTGTGTGTGTATGTATACCATATATGTATATATACACCAGAGAACTACTACAAAAGCTTATAAATTAATCACTATCTTAATTAGTTATATGAGGAAACAGTGTGACCCCACTTTAACACATAATTTAGTCAAAAGGAGGGAATTAACACATGTTAGGAAGACTGTGTTGTATAAGCTGTTGTACTTTGTTGCTGGCATTAATCTCTAGGACTAGAGCTTTCAAAATGAGACTTTGCAATATTCAAGTTATATTTGTTGAATATTCATTCATAATAGAAAAGCCTCCTAATGCCTCATTTATATTGTCATTTAAATCTAGTGCCACTTTAGATTAATTATAATCCAAATTACAGCTCTGTGCAGTACAAGAATTAATATAGAGTTTATCCAGATTAATACATTTGCATTGAAAATGTAATATGTCTCTGCCATGGCTAAGGGGACCACTTTTTAATAAAGGAGTAAACATGAGGAAAGATGGAAATTAACCTTCATTATTACAATTAAAATTATCCTTTCATTCTAGTCTCATTAGAAAGAATACTGTACCAGTAATTATAATTTTAGAATGATTTAGAGTTGAATAACATCTTCAGTGATATTGAAGTTGATATAATTCAAACTTTGTCAAATACATTGATTCATAAATAATAACTCTGTATTTTGTTTTATTGTTTTTTCAAAATTTGCTTTGAATACATGTGTGTTATTGAATTCCCCTCACTAGTTATGAGTATAAACCATTTTACAACCTTCTGTATTTTAGGGATTGGGAATTATTAAGCAGGAGGCATATGAATTGAAGTGAATTATGTCATTTTTTATATTAGCAATCTCATGCAAGTTAAATAATCCTATCACTGACAGATAATCATTGACTTATCTATTTGGGAGTACTTATTTGTAATTAGACATAATTTTTTTAGTTAAAATGCATTAAAATGACATTGTTCTTTGAAAATATTATGGTGTCTTTCACAACATAAAAATGAATTATGATTCCATATGAAAATTTTGCCCAGAATAATAAATAGCATTATCAAATAAGTTTCGGACATAAACTATAAGTAATCATCACACCTAATAAAATATCTTCCTCAGGTTAATTAGACCTTATTAAATATAAGGCATTTATAGGATAGGATAATTCAGAAAAACGGTCCTGAGTTGATTTCCTGTAATATACCAGGGATACTATGGAACATGAGATAGCACCTCTTTGTACTCAAAGGCATGCATGCATAAAATGTAACTTCCAACATCTTAGTGAATAATCTTGGCACAAGCTCACTCTATGTTATTATATCTCAGTATTCTCTGCATCTTCTTCTTCTTATCAATGGCATGCATTTATGGGGCCCAGTCTTTATCTATAACCTTATTTTAATTAAAAATTAAGTAGTTTTTAGGAAATTCCTGGTTTATATTCAACATATTGTTTAGTTAACGAAGTTAATTAGCCAAAATTATTGTTGGCATATATCAGTCAGAATACTATAGGTAACAGTTGTTGAAACTGTTATGTGCTAGTTAGCCTAAGAGTTTACTTTGCTCATGCAACACAGAACGTCACTAAATTAAAATTGTAACATTATTAATATTAATAAGCATAATTTTCTTAGTAAATATGGTATAGATTATAACAAATGTGCATACTAATATATAGACTAAATAAAATATTTCAAGCCTTAAAGTTAGTAAGAGTTGTTTTGATCCTTTATAGTACGAATATTTGGATAAAATACACATTGAACATGTGTAAAGCAATAAGGCCAGATCTATACAATGAAGAAATTTGGCAGTTTGAAAAGTTTATTCTATTCCTGATATTCCATAGGACTTTTAAACAACAAAAATGAAGAAAATCTTCTTTTGGGTGGCAGTCTTTGATAATGTAGGAAGTTGTACCACCTTATTATTTGATCATATCTATCTGTATAATGTGCACAGAAGAATCATATGGAAATATGATATAGCATTAGACTCTTCAAGAAATGTTCCATTACTTGTTAATGGAGAATTTTGTTAGGAAAAATCTGTACACTTCTCAGATGGAGGTAACTGATAGACATTTGCTGATATAGATGAAAATCATTTCAATGTGCTTTGCTGGTGTTCTTTATTCAACTTGGTCTGACACTTTTTAAGCAGTAAATGTGATTGTATATGCTACATATCATGTTGATTCTTAAGTGTTTGTTTTAATGCTTTTTAAACAAGATTGCAAAGTATATTCTGATTTGAGAAAAATAATTTGCTGGTGTCAGAAATAACTAAGAGCTAAATATTTCTGGTTTTGACAAATTTTTGTATAGCAAATATTTTAATATTGTTTTATTAACATAACAAAATATTCCAGGCTGTCTCAAATATAAAGTTATGCAAATATAGGGTGTCCCCAGTTTATGACATATTAGCAGTATAATGAACTGCTCTTCTGACTGGAAGGCTTTGGGGATTTTATTGTACATCTTGTCATTAGTAATACATACCACATGCTACAATTTGCTATGGCATGCATATTATTATCATCCTCATGCTAACCTCCAAACACAAATAAAAGATAGGTTTTTTTTAAAAAAAAAAAAATTTACTATGTCAGAACTGACAACACAATATAGGACCACTGATACTCCTCTCTAAATTGCAATCTACTGATACAAATAGGTTATTTTTTTTCAAATTTCTACAAATAAACACAATATATCTAAGGCACATGTGTATATATAGGATACATGTATCAATACAAGTTAAATCTAAAGTTTTCACTATATAGAAATTAAAAAAAGGCTATTTGTTAAAAACTTCATACTGATTTTATATTACAAACTCCAAGGGATGAAAATGATAGTCATTGTCTGATTTAATAATTTAAATTTTATTTCCTAAGGATCATTCTTAATTTTTAATTACTCTTTAAATTCAAAACTTTGAAAATTACCTATATTCTATAAAACATGTATTCCGAATAGAAATATGGGGGTTTTTTGCTTTGTTTCCATAACATCCTTGACCTTATTTTTAAATTAAAACAGAGTTATTTTGTAATAAGATCCAATTTGTTCATTTATATGAACCGTATGTGGATTGAAAAAAAAAATCAAGATAAATCTTCATGCTCGGCATACAATCAGATTACGCTGGGACTATATATTTACGCGAGGTCTGATAGCAATCAATGGTTTAGCTTCATTGCATTTCAAGATGTATTTGCACCCAGTTGTCCAGTGATAGTGTCCTCACCCTGGAAATAATTTAGTTGCAAATTGACTGGAAGATGGTGAAAATTGAAAGTTAAAATTAGAAATACTCATAATAAACAGCAGAAAAAAGGTCAGATGATGCCGCGCTATGATGAGATTGGAATGGCTGGTAAATGAGGTTTTGTGTTTGTCGTGAGATGTATGTGACATGCCTACCCAATGTCGCTGTAATATCCAGCCTCGCAGAGGATATTATCGGGCAAATTGATGCTGGGAAGAATTTTCTGTTAGATTGGGAAATTAGAATCACACTCTTCTTTGATGTGTGAGAGGCTCTTACATATTACATAGCTCATCTAGGGATATTTTCAAATCATCTTTAACACTGAATATTTGGATTAACCTCATAAAACAATGGTCTTCTAGAGATTTGAGCTATAATTTTATGGGTGCAGCCAATTGCTAGACCATCTAAAGCAAAAAAGCAAATCACTAAGGCAGACGGATGTCCAATGTAGGGCTAATTTTTAAATTCTGCATTAACCATGCAAAAAATGTTATATTTACGTTTCCAAATTACAAGTCATCATCTCTTAGAATTTTGCAATCTTTCTTTCTCACAAAATTTGGAAGCGAATGATGTAAATATAAGTAAAAATAATCATTTTTTAAATTGGATTTTGTGAATGGAAATATATTTTTTTCTTAATATATAGGCATTCTAAGCCACAAGCAAATATTATTGATGAATCTCTCAAAGCCATTTAACTAAATATGAGACAGGAAAACTTTAAAAAAAATAATTTTCAAGGCCACTTGATGGACAAAAAGAAGTGTGCTTTTACCTTTTGAAAATAGTGCAGTCCACAAGTGTTGAGTATTTTTAGTGATTCAGTGGATTTAAGGTGACAATTCAGATGTGACATCATTGGTCTTTTAAAAGTTTACTTCTTCTATTCTTTTTCCCCCCCCCCATCAGGATTAATCACACCAGAGAAGGAACTAAAAGTCAGTGTGGCCGGGGCAACCCAGCCACCCCTGCTGGCAAAAGAAGAGGATGTTGCAACGAAAAGGTCAAAACCTACAGAGGACAACAAATTCTGTCACGATCAGGTAAAAATGCTATTTATCTTTTGCTGTATAAATTTTTTAAATTGCTTAAAAATTTTTAAGGCCAAAATGATTGCATGCTGTTGAAATGTAGGCAATCATTATGTTTGGCGATCTGATCAACCCTTAGTAGTACTTCAAATGTTACAAAGTCAATGAAGCACATGAAGTAATGGCGGCCATATTTATGTGATCTTTTTCAGTTCTATCAGTGCCCTTACTGTAACTACAATAGTAGGGACCAGAGTCGTATCCAGATGCATGTCCTGTCTCAGCACTCAGTGCAGCCCGTCATTTGCTGTCCCCTCTGCCAGGACGTCCTCAGCAACAAAATGCACCTCCAGCTTCACCTGACACATTTGCATAGTGTGTCTCCAGATTGTGTGGAGAAGTTGCTTATGACAGTAAGGACACCAAACGTTGATGCATGTTTGACATCACTTGAGAAAAGATATCAAAACAGGATTTATATCTATTGGTGGATAGAAATGTATTCACTCTGTAATACCATTTTCTTGACTGTCTTATAAAAATGGCAATGAAAGTTCATTTGCAACCTCTCTTAGATTTTAAAAAAAAACCATCTAGTATAATATAAGCATAGCATATTCAATAGGATGGTATTATAATATTTCAATAGGATATTGAACTATCTAAAATAGGGTATTATAACGATTTTTAACATCTGTTTTTAATTTTCCTTATAAAAATAGATCTCTAAAATCAAAACTTTTTAATCTGTATTAAATCAAGGATGCACACAGCATTGTAATAGTACTGATCTGAAATTTGAAGAGAAAGCTTCTACTTGAAAGATTCACAAAATGTTGCTACTTGGTTTAAAAAATTGTAAATGGGACACATGATTGCCAAATGGCAGACCTGATGGTGTTTGTGATTTCTTGAGTATAGTTAATGTAAACATCTTTGGTTTTAAAAGGTGCCTGTCCCTGATGTCATAATGCCAAACAGTATGCTCTTGCCAGCAACCACCTCTGAAAAGTTGGAGAGGGACACGCCTGCAGCCATTGCGACTGAAGGGTCTGGGAAATATTCAGGTATGCCAGTTTCTGGCCACGATTGACAGAACATATGCTAGGAAGCTGCCTTTGAGGCAGTAATCTAGGATTATTACTATGAGGTAAGGGAAGGTGGACCAGGAAAGAATGATGGGGACATAAAGAGTCCTGACATTTCCTTATGGTACATTCCCACAATGGAATACTATGCAGCACGCAGGAGCAGTGGTTTTGTAAATTACTACCCAACATGGGAGGGACTGGAGAGCATTATGCTAAGTAAACTAACTCAATCTCATAAAGACAAATACTGTATAAGTCCATTATTGTAGAATGAGTACAAGGATCAAAGGAGGGGGTGTGCTTAATCATAGGGTCACACACTTTGATGGGTAGAGGGAAGGAAGAGTAAAGAAAAGGGGAAAGATTTGGTATGAAAAACCATGTCTATGAACTTTATGAACTTTTTAAGTAAATCAGTATAAAATATTTTTTTAAAAAAAGAAAGAATCCTGACATTTCCAAGATCTGTAGTATCCAAGGAATATGTAGTATGTGTTCTTGAGTTGGAGAAGACTAATTGTAGACCCTCCAGTGTCTTTTCAGAGGCTGTAAATTATACAGGAAGAGATTGCCCATCTTTCTCCCACAAATCAGCTGGCGAAATCTGACCACTTACCTGTGGGTTGACAGCTACTACCCATAATTTTTTGAGACCTAAGTGTCAGACTTTCAAATGTTCTGTGGGTTGTAATTCATAAACACCAGGACTGTGGCCTTTTATGTAACACTGATTGCAGTACTCCTTTTACTTGGGATCTTCTTTATCCTGAAATTTCTTAAATCCAATGTGCTTTGTTGTTCATCTCTATGTTCATCTTTTTGAAGCTAGTAGTTATACAATAAATATTTCTTCAAAGAATTGAGCAGAAGAACTTTTAGAGGCCCCTACTTATAGTATCTCTTGGCATTTAAAGAGTGAATTTTATTTTTGTTTTCCCCTATAAGAGATATATTGTGTTTCTTTTCTACACAGGTGAAAGTCCAATGGATGACAAAAGTATGACAAGTCTTGAAGAGTCAAAGGCTAACATGGAAATTAAGAGTGAGGAGCAGAAACCAAGTAAAGAATCCACAGAAGTGTCAGAATGGAATAAGAACAGTAGCAAGGATGTGAAGGTTGCAGATACACTGCAAGACCAACTCAGTGAACAGCAAAAGAGGCAACCGCTCTCTGTTTCTGACCGCCATGTTTATAAGTATCGCTGTAACCACTGCAGCCTAGCTTTTAAGACTATGCAGAAGCTTCAGATACATTCCCAGTATCATGCAATTCGGGCTGCCACCATGTGTAATCTCTGCCAGCGGAGTTTCCGTACATTCCAGGCTTTAAAAAAACACTTGGAAGCAGGCCACCCTGAACTGAGTGAAGCTGAACTCCAACAGCTGTATGCTTCTTTGCCTGTGAATGGTGAACTTTGGGCAGAGAGCGAAACAATGGCCCAGGACGACCATACCCTGGAGCAAGAAATGGAGCGAGAGTATGAGGTGGACCATGAAGGGAAGGCAAGTCCTGTTGGAAGTGATAGTAGCTCTATTCCAGATGACACGGGCTCTGAACCAAAGCGGACCTTACCTTTTAGAAAAGGGCCAAATTTTACAATGGAAAAATTCCTTGATCCATCTCGCCCATACAAATGTACAGTGTGTAAAGAATCCTTCACCCAAAAGAACATTCTCTTGGTCCATTATAATTCAGTGTCTCATCTGCATAAGTTGAAAAAAGTCTTGCAGGAAGCTTCCAGCCCTGTTCCTCAAGAAACCAACAGCAGCACAGATAACAAACCCTACAAGTGCAGCATATGTAATGTTGCCTACAGCCAAAGCTCCACATTGGAAATCCACATGAGGTCTGTGCTCCACCAGACAAAGGCCAGAGCTGCAAAGCTGGAGCCCAGCAGCCACGTGGCTAGTGGGCACGGCATGACCACAAATGTGAACAGTCCAAGTCAAGGGATGTTGGATTCTCTGAGTTTAGCACCAGTGAACAGCAAAGATACCCACTTAGATGCCAAAGAATTAACTAAAAAGCAAACTCCCGAATTACTCCCGGCTCAGCCTGCCCACCACCCACCACAGTCACCAGCACAAATTCAGATGCAACTACAGCACGAGTTACAGCAGCAAGCAGCGTTCTTTCAGCCTCAGTTTCTCAACCCAGCCTTCTTGCCTCACTTTCCTATGACCCCTGAAGCACTGCTGCAGTTCCAACAGCCTCAGTTTCTCTTTCCATTCTACATACCTGGGACCGAGTTCAGCTTGGGGCCAGATCTGGGTTTGCCAGGCTCTGCCACCTTCGGGATGCCTGGCATGACAGGAATGGCTGGTTCTTTGCTTGAAGATTTGAAGCAGCAGATTCAAACCCAACATCATGTTGGCCAGACTCAACTTCAGATACTCCAGCAACAAGCACAACAGTACCAAGCCACACAGCCCCAGCTGCCATCTCAAAAGCAACAGCAGCAACAACCACAGCAGCAGCAACAACAACCACCACCACAACAGCAACAGCAACAACAGCAGCAACAACAGGCAAGCAAATTATTGAAACAAGAGCAGACCAACTTAGTGAGTGCAGACTGCCAAATACTGAAGGAAATGCCATCTTATAAGGAGGCAGACGAAAATGCTGAAAAGCATGAGAAACCAAAGCAAGAACTTACGAGTGAAGGTGAAGGACTTAAGGACAGCAAAGATACAAAGAAGCAGAAGTCCCAGGAACCATCCATCCCACCACCACGAATTGCCTCAGGGGCGAGAGGAAATGCCGCCAAAGCGTTACTGGAAAACTTTGGTTTTGAATTGGTCATTCAGTACAATGAAAACAGGCAGAAAGTCCAGAAGAAGACCAAAAGTGGTGAAGGTGAAAACACTGACAAACTGGAATGTGGAACGTGTGGTAAATTGTTCTCCAATGTTCTTATTTTAAAGAGTCACCAGGAGCACGTCCATGGGCAGTTTTTTCCCTGTGGAGCACTAGAGAAATTTGCTCGTCAGTACAGAGAGGCTTATGACAAGCTTTATCCAATTTCTCCGTCTTCACCAGAAACTCCACCCCCACCGCCTCCACCGCCTCCCCTGCCTCCAGCTCCTCCACA